GGTCTGCACGTGGCCACCTCCAGCCCATACACAGGCCACTCCCCTGCGGAGGACACTCTCCTCCTCACCAGCGCTGACGTCCCCTTCATGCGGTTTCCTCTTCGTCATCCTCCGGACATCTTCGTTGTCCGTGGCCCTTCTGCTGGGTGCTATGGGCACCTGCCCCCCGTTAATATGCCACACACTGTGTTGGATTGTAATTGACCTCTTGCCTTTCTTGAACCCCCCAGGAAACCAAAGACTATGTTTCTCACATTAACAGCCAGACCCCCAGGACCCAGCAGATGCCGCATCCAGAGAAGGCGCTCAAGAAATCCTTCTTGAGGGCTGGGGATTTAGTTCAGTGGTTCCACCGCCTGCCTTCCAAGTGAAAGGTCCAGAGTTTGATCCCCGTACCAAAAAATAAAAGAAAAAGAAGAAATAGTTTTTGAAATAAAAAAGAACAAATCCAAATGACAACTAAAGCTCCTGGAACTAGGAGTAGCTCACTGTCATCACCATGCTTCAGTGCCACATTGAGCCACTTTCTTGCTCTAATAGAAAACCAGTTCCAATTTCAGGTCCCGGAACAGTGGGGTGAAGTGTTGGGACAGCCTCCGTGTCTGAGAGGGAATTTGTAGGACTCCTCCCCACCCATCTTGAACCTTGCTGGTGTTGATCTGTTCATCCTTTCTGATCCCTGAATCTCACCCTGACTCAGCCCTTTTGACCACCCCATCCTAGATAGAAAAGGAATAGCCCTTTGCTCCCCAACTCAAATTTGATCTCTGACCACAAAGCCAGTGGATTTTTCCAGAGAAGTCCCCTAACAGACTCCTCTGCTCCCCTGGGTATAGCAAGGGAGATGGTCCCTGAGATAGGTATTAGCTCCCCGTGACACACAGGAATTCAGCCAGGGCATGTGAGAGAGATCCTTCCACAGAGCCCTTGAGCATTTCTCCAAAGGCACACACCACTGGCTCCTTGAATCACCATGGCTCCTATCAGTGTCCTATCGCCCTCGAGGGCCACACAGCTTTGAGCACAGATCATGGACCAGTGACCTCTACTGTCAGAAGGCCTGACCTCGAATAGAACCTCAGTAATTGTTGAATGAATAGACGAATGGAAAAACGAGGGTGCACCAGAGCTTTCCCAGGGAGCACTGCCCGTTTTCCTCCATTAGGAGATGAGATTTGTCCTATTCATTAAAGACATTCTTGCTGACCCTTCAGAGATTCCAGAGGCTAATAACCTTCAGAAGTCAAGAGGATCATTTTTCCTTTCTAATTTAAATTTCTCTGGATGCCACTTCAGGGCATTTTCTTCTAATCTACCTCCCTGGGCCACTGGGATTAAAACCCACCTCTTCTTTGCGGGGGAGGGATACAGGGAATCAAACTCAGAACCTTGCAATTGCAAGGCAGACAGCAGAACCACTGAGCTAAATCCCCAGCCCCCAAACCCACCTCTTTTCAAGGAGACAGTTACTAATTTACTCTTTTAGCCTTTTCTTCAACAAATTTAATCCCAGGCCCTGCATTGTTCTCTCCCTGGGGTCCCGTTGTCCAGCTCTCTCCCTGTTCCACTGTTCTTGGGCCTTTCGCCAATTCTCAAAGGCTTCCTTCAGCTGCACAGGCAGGAATGGGACACACTGTTCTCCACACCCAAATGCCTGTGCACACCAGACCAGCACCTCTGTGTACCTATTATCCTCAGTCCTGGGTAAACACACTCCTGGCAGCCTTCTCACACAGCCACAGGTTCATCCTCTTCCACCTGCACACCCGGAGCCCTAATCCGGTGAATTCTCACACCTGGACGCGTATTTACATGCATGAGAATAGGCTGCACAGACCTATGCTTTTACCCATGGGTGCGCCAAAGGGGCAGAACACCAGAGCCCTCTTCCTCCTCCTTTTCCCTGCCTCCTTCCACAACTCGCCTTTCCATTGGCCACTGTGGGCCCAACCTACTCTGCCTCTGCCTTCACAGTGATTTTCCACATCAAGGCTGAGGGCAAACAATAAATGAACAAAATTGGCTCCGACGTCTTCCTCCTGCCCTCCTCATTCTTTTTCTTCCAAAACCTCAATGTGTGCTTGCTCTGGCAGCACATATACAAAACCCCAATGTATCTTCCATTGCCCAGAGCACACACACTGCCTTTCATTTCCTTCCTAACCTCCACTGCTCTGGCTGAGGGTTCTTGGGTTTTTACCTTTTGGGAACGAGCAATGGGGAGGCACAGGGCCTGACGGATGAGTCAGATCCATGTCAGATCCAAAGGCAGACTGGGCTGGAGCGGCATTGTCATCGCCGCAGCGAACTCAGGAGCAAGAGAGGTCTGAACACTCATTCATTCAACACAAACTTCTCCAGCATGCCAACCACTACCCTATGTGAATGAAACCAACAAAAGCCTGCCCCTGTGCAGTGTACATTCCATGGGTGGGGACAGGAATAAGTAAAAAACGTACTGGCTGTCCTGGCTCTGAGGTGGTAATAAGCGAAAGCAGGGGAGCAGGCTGGGGTGCAGGCTGAGGGTGGAATGTGCAATTTTAAATAAGGTGTCAGGAAAGGTGATAAAGCAGTGAAACCTGGAAGGGGATTTTTCCAGAACAGTCCTGCCAAAGGGGTGCCATGAAACACCGGTGTAAATGGCCAAAAAGAACAGGGTACTAGGAGATGACTAGAAGAGGGGGTGCCATCCAGAGGAGCTCTTTCTCCTTACGAAGGGCAAGAGTCCTGGAGAGATGAGAGGGGCCAAATCAGGGGTGAAACTGTGACCTTAGGTAGGACAAAATGTTAAAAGCAAAGCAAAACAAAACAAAAATCAGAAAGCAAAATTGGGAGATGCCAGTGGAGGCCAGGAAGGAGCTGAACACACAGCGCAATCGACAGGTGGATGCAGCCAGGGGGTGAGTGCCTCTCAAAGCCAGTTGGTGATTGCTGTGAAAATGTTATTCTAGGAGTGGACAGAGCCAGCTGAAGCTTCCTTGAGCAAGTTCAGCAGGGCATTATCTATACAAACACTTCTTGAGCAACTTCTGCGTGCTAGCATTCACTATGCAAGGTCCCGTCCACATGGGCCTGATGGACTCTCACAGCAGCCTGAGGGGGATGTATCCGTGTAGGTTAGAGGTTAAGGACATCACCTCACCACGACACAACCGCTGGTCCCCCAGTCCCTCCACAGCCCCATTTTGGACTGAGCTGACAACAGTACAGGCTTGGGTGGAGGCCCAGCCATGTGGACCTGGGCTCCACTCCTTGCTCCCCCAATTTACTGGTATGTGGCCCTGGGCAAGCTTGTAGCCCTTTATGGGTCGCAGTGTCCACCTCTGAGGACGAGGGTGATAAATGTCGTAGTATCCTCCTCACCGACTTCTGTGAGAAGCTGGGAGAAAGCTGTGTTAGCATACACCTCAAGATAACCGCGACGCATGTGGCCAATGATTTGTTCCTGTAAACAGTTAAATCGGGGAAGGCTGTAAATTGGTTCGTTTTTCAATGTAAATATCAGTGGATTCAATGTTTTCTCTCCAATGACATCTCGCGCTCTCTCTCTCTCTCTCTCTCTCTCTCTCTCTCTCTCTCTCTCTCCGAA